TCTTCAGGGCTCCCTCAGCTCCCACATCACCATGTTGAGGACCGTGCGCCCAGCATGTGAGCCTTAGGTGGACAAACAACATCTGATCCATAGCACAGTCCGTATGTAAAAGGGTCCTGAAAGAATCTTTTCAATAGGGTGCCCTCTAAAAGGATAAAATACTTAGCTTACCTCAAACTGTGATGAACACTTAATCTTAAAAAAGTAAAGTGCACATATCTGTGTGTAAAATTAAAATGTAACTACCATGAAATTATATACAATTTATAATACACGTAAAATTCAAATAAATTAATTTTGACACAGAAGAAAACAGGAAGTCTCCTGCTGCTTTGATCCGCAGGACAACTTCCTTGATATATGGGTAATTACTTCAATGTGCAGAATGCAAACTAGTGATACTCTGTTGAGTACATATTTAGATATGGTGTATAGGGCTCCCTAAAGAAACAGAACCAATAAGAGATACAAATTCGACAGGTATTTATTATACCAACTCACATGAGAGTAAAAGGTGAGAAATCTCTTCATCTGCCATCTGCATATAGCAGACTTGGGCAAACTGGAAGCGTAGTGCAGGACTAAGGGTAAGTTGCAGACCAACTCTGCAGCTGAATTTTCCTCTGGCTTCTGGCTTGGTAATTTGATCTCTCCTCCTCGTTCCATTTCCCTTGGGCCTGACAGCCCAAGCAGTCAGGCAGAAGGAAACATGAACCCAAACTTCTACCTTCTTGTTCTACTCAGGTCTTCAAAGGATTGAATACTGGCCATGCACTTGAGTAAGGGTAACCTGCTTTAAATGCTAACCTCTTCCAGAAATACCCACATAGACACACCCAGAAATAATGTTTAATCAGTTGCCCCAGTCAAACTGATGCATAAAATGAACTATCACAGATGGTGTTCATCATCTCTAACCTACCTCCAGAGAGCTCATATAAGAGATTTTTAGAACAAAATTTTTAAAAAATTTTAATTACAGATAGTCCCCAACTTATATACATTCAATTTGTGATTTTTCAGTTTTATAATGGTACAGAAGCATATCCATAAAACCATTTGGTGTTTCACTTTGTACCGTAGTCAATAAATTATGATCTATAAGACTTTATCATAAAGTGGGATTTTTGTTAATGATTTTGCCCATATGAAGGCTAATATATGTGCTCTATGTACAGTAAATAGAGACTAGGCTAAGTTATGGTGTTGAGGTATGTTATGGTGTTGAGGTAAGTTAGGAGAGGTATGTTAAACACATTTTTAATTTATAGTATTTTCAACTTACAACAGATTTATCAGGTTGTAATTCCACCCTAAGTTGAGGACCATCTATATTTATTTTGCTTTGCAATCTTTTGTCTCTTCTATGTATAAAACGGCGATGCATAGAAAGAAGTAATTCTTACATTTTAGAACAATAGTAAATGGTTATACAGTATAATTACAATAGCCTTTAAGAATACTAATGATGACATAGCCATCAACATGAAAATGTATTAATGAAACATCAATCACTTAAACTGTAGTATATGCATATATAATCTACATCATTATAGTGGGAAAAATTCAATAGCAAAAACACTGGCACCTTAATAAAATAGGCTCAAAATAATTTACACTAGGTGCTTTGACCCCAAAATGTCTTAGATTTGCTGTTTGGTATAAACTAACTCAAATAAATACAAAAGAGCATAGTATGTGAAAACAAGTGAAAGCATGAAAAAGAAACATGTTGCCAACAAAAGGCCATAAACTACCTCTCAACCACAAAGAAAAATCAAGTGCTGCTAAGTCTTCTACAGACAGAAAGGCATTTTTTATGTTTAGTGGTATGGAGCAAGGAGAGGGATATGACTTTAATAGTAACTGATATTAGAGTTGGCCAGTGATAGCTCAAAACTATTTTTCTCTTTGATTTACATGAAGGTCAAACTGAAAAATTTGAGCCTCGGGTGGGATATTTAATTTCTGAGATGACCTCTAGTGGTCACTCAAGACACACGTTGGCATGTGAAATAAGAGCTGTTTATATGACCAAAAATAAAAAGATCAAATAACAGAAGGGATCCTGAAAATGTCTTTTAAAGGTAAGAGAAATTCTCACTTGATAAAATAAACATAGAGTATATCAAAACATACTCAATACACATACTCATTAATCCTAAAATTCTATTTTTAGGACAGTGCCCTAACAAAGGAATTTGATAAAGTCTCAAAAACTATTATAAATAGAAAAATTAATTTTAGAATTGCTTAGCAACACAGTGTAAATGGCTAAAAATGCCAAGTGATTGGAAAAGTTGTGGTTCTTCTATATAGTGAAAAAGTCTTGTGGCCACCAAGAATAATATGACATATCTGTTGAAATAAAATGTTAACAAAATATTGTTAAATTACAAAGCAAGTTAAAATCAGGGTGAAATAACGTAAGTATGATAATATTTTGCTATAAAAATTATGTGTGTATGTGAAAAGTATATGGTAAATAATCAAATTATTAGAGATCAATTTTTGAATAGTAGAATTATAGATGAAATTTTTAACAAATTGATTTTCTATTTGTTATGTCATAAATATTATTTGGGGATAATAACTTTCCATAAAATTTAATACACATAAAAATTTTGGGACTGGGGAGGGGCTCAGTGGTAGAGCTTTTGCCAAACATTCATGAGGCCCTGAGTTCAATCCCCAGTACCAAAAAGGAAGAAGAACCAAAAATGTGGATCCATGAGATTACAGCCAATTTCTCACAAAACATCAAAAATCACTTTCCTAATCCATCCAGTCATATCCTTTACAGACTCTGCAAATATCTCAGGACAATCTTTCTCACATGTTTTCTATCTCCCTTTAAAATGATGAAAGGCAGTACAGTTTTCTACATACACTTTTTTTAGTCTTCTTTTGAAATTGCATCTTAATTTATCCAAATTAAGAAAACCTGCCATTAATTTATTTTTCTTAAAAGAATAAAGAATTTTCCACAAAGAATTTTTATTTCTTTTACCTGACATATTTAACCTGCCCAACACCAAATGTTTGAAGTAGAGAAAAGGCTATAAAACACAGAATCTGGGAATTATTGTCTGGAGTCATCATATATTAGGTACCTTATTTTCTTAAATTGCCTTGACCTCCAAATGTCCTTTTAGCAAAAAAGAGCATTGTCCACAATATAAAAATCTTCTATCATGTATCACTTAGATTATAATTAAGGATGTGTGACAGTGTAGTTGTTTTCTAAGCTGTTCAGAGCAAATATTTTCATAACGTGCATGGGACCTTTGCACGCTTTTTATTCACCGTCAAGTGTATGCTTTTTTTTGTTAGTTTTCTATTGCTCCTATTACAAATTACCATAATTTTGGAGGCTTAAAACAACACATTTTATTCTCCTATAATTTTGTAGTTTGGAAGTCTGACGTGGGTCTCATGAGGATAAAATTCAAACTTTTCCTTTGTATAAACTCTGATAAGATCCACTTCCTTACCTTATTCATAGTCTAGAGACTTGAATGCCTTGGCACATGAGCCTTTTTATCTTCAAAGCAAGCAAAGGAGAGTTAAGTCCTTCTCCACCTAATCACTCTATTTTCATTGACCATCTCCTCAGACCATTCTCTTCTGCCTCTCTCTTTTCTACTTTTAAAGACCCGTGTGATTAGGGACAGGGATTTAGCTCAGTGGTTCCACCGCCTGCCTCACAAACACAAGGATCTAAGTTTGATTGCAGGTACCAAAAAAAAAAAGACCCCTATGATTAAACTGGGCCCATGCAGACAGCTTAGTCAGTGGTGCCAAACCTGTTGCACACGTGAAGCAGCAAGCTGTTTGTTATCATTGAAAGCTATGGTTTACCATCACTGGCCTAAGTCAGCCTTAATTCTTCCTGCAACCTTAATTCCTCTTTGCTGTGTAACCAAGCAGATTCAGAGATTTTAAAGATTTTCTGGTGAACCTTTCAGAGCTTTCAATGATAACAGCCATCAGCGGCACGCATGCCATAGGTTCACCAACACTGGATTAGGACATGAACAACCTTAGGGCTATTATTATGCTTACCATATTGTTTAAAATACATTTACTATTTAAGAAATTATGAAAGGCTATGGAATTTGTTGAATGATCTTCTACATAATGGAAGACTACCATATTTCAAAATAGGCAATTTCTAGAATACTAACTATTCTAGAATAATAACTTCCTCACTTTGAATCTGAGCTGCTCTGTGGCTCATGTTTTACTAATAGACTGGAGCAGAAAGATACTCTGTGACTTTTAAGCCTAGGTCATGAGAAGCCTTGCACCTTCCACCTGGGTCTACTGGAACATTTACACTCTGCCGGGGAAGGCGGGCGCTATGCAGTACATCCAGTTACCTTAAGACTCCCATTTCATGAACCAATTCCAAGCCAGGAAGGGTAAGAAAAGAGAAGGGAAGATAGGGGGCAATGAACAGGCAGGCAGTCAGCACTCAATTTCCAGCCATCCCAGGAGAGGTGCTAGACAGGTAAGTGGAAAAGCCACTTTAGATATCAAGCCAATTAAGCTTTCAAATGACTCTAGCACCAATAATCATCTGAAAACAAACGTATGGAAGACACCCAAATGAGAACTATCTAGCTAAGTTAAATCACTCACCGAACTATGAATCACTAAGAATGTGGATAGGTTTTTTTTAACATAACGGTAAATAATAACCAAGACAAATGGTTTCAAGTACAATTACATAACTGGTTACCAATTACACTACTGCTCTCTTGCTCCAGCTCTCTCTCAATCAATCAATCAAAATTTCCATTAACTAAGGTCTGATTCAAGAAAGGTGCTTTCTCAAAATCTCAAACAATGTATTTATGGTTTTTTCATTTGAAAATAAGGCTATTACACCACCAAACCCCTGGAAGATCTGTAAAATTCAAACTTGTGCCTTTTTTATTTTTGGAAGTTTCCAGCAAAATATTATTACCAACTATTTCAAGAGAAATTGTAGAAAGCCCATACTTAACAGAGGCAGTGAACTTGGGTGGAGTTGAAAAAGATCTGGTACTCCAAATCACCTTCCTCGGGACACCTGTGGTGTTTCTGGAATGAAAAGTAAACAGTTGAGAAATTTCAAAAAGAAACAGCAAGAGCAAGTGCATTGAGGTATAAAAATAGCAAGTGTATATTTCAACTACTACTTGTGATTTTAAAGTAGAGAATTAAGCCTAAAATTAAAGATGATGTCCATTCTCCTCTTCCACCAATGTCAAATTCCTTAGAGCACATGCTTCCTCTTTCATGTAACACTGGAAAGCAGTTTCTTGAAGGTGCCTGAAAGCATCTACCATCGGAAACCTCTGTAGGAAAAGCGGATTTTGTCAGGTTTGCATGTGTCTGGGTACTGAATACCTTGCCACACCTGACTGATTACAAGTAATTTGAGCAAATAACAGATAATCAAGATCCATTTCTCTCCAAAGAAACCAGCACACTCCCAGAAAGTAAGTAAATTTGACTGTCTCGGTTTAATAGGCTATGTTTGTCCAATTGCCCATACAACAATGTTAAGAATATTTATAATATGAAACTATAGAACTACAAACCAGTTATCATTACAGTCAATTCCAATCTTCCTGGGTAAAAAAAATAATAACTTCTGTTGTGTCTTAACCAGCATCATAATGATCTAGCAGGAGTTGATATTTAAACCAATCAACACTTTAATCCTTAATCCAAAGAACCCAGATTTATATGGATCATTGAAATTAGCTGAAGCTTTCCATAACATCTAACTAAACCTCTTTATCAACAAGCCAGAAAACCAATGCCAAAAATGACCTGCGCTTACCTTCTGCTTCTGGTTGAAATGCTTAATCAGAATGTCCTAGCTACAGAAATGAAAGGATCTGGGCCACCCAAAACTGCCCTTTAGCCAATAGCTAAACCATTTAGAACCAGCTACAATAGATGAAAACTGCAACACTATAAAAAATAACTTGAAGCCAGAGCTCCCAAATTTTCACAAAACTGTTATGTTAGATCCAGAGTAAAGCTGAATCACACATACCTCTAAATTTCATTTACTTCTCTAGCAAAGTGAATCATCTCAATAAACTTCAACCTTGCTTTCCTTACATCTTACTCACATGGACAATTAACCTTCAGATGTAAGAAGATGATAAACTCCTAATGGTGCACATATACAGCAGCTCTACAATTCTACCAGCTCTACCTGCTCGCTTCTTCTTTTTTTTTTTTTTTGCTTTTGGTGCCAGGGATCAAACTCAGGACCTTGAACTTTTGAGGCAGGCGGCAGACCCACTGAGCTACATCTCCGCCCATGAGCACTCTTATGATGAACTTACAGTCCTCCTACCTCAATCTCCTAAGTATCTGGGATTACAGGCATGTGCCTCTATGCCTGTTTGTTTTTTTTTTGCTTTTGGTGCCAGGGATCAAACTCAGGACCTTGCACTTTGGAGGCAGCCACAGTGCCACTGAGATAAATCCCTGGCCCAACAAATTCTTTCTGAAGTACTAATGCATGCTTAGAATAAGGAGAAGCTGTGAAAACTAATATCATGTGAGTTCATAGAAAATTCTGTGGCAATCCACTGGCACATTGCACTTGACAGTGCTAGCCCCCATCCTCCTTGTATGATGTAACACAACCTGAGTGGTGTAATCCGAGCCGGTCACACAAAGAAGCTCTTTGCTGAGAACACCCCATGGGCGGTAATTTCTTCCATGGATAATTATTGCATTATAAACATATGCTATGTTTCATGTTCCTTCATGTGACGTAGCCGGGCGCTATGAGATGCAAAGCATTTTTGTCATTATTTTATTTTTGTCATTTGGCTAATGAGTAATTAAGCATGAAGAACTATTCTAATATCATAGTTCTATATGAGTAAAGCACATAAAAAGGTCAGTCTGGGTGTGGAGTTGGGGATGGAGGGAATGGACAATTAAGAAAATAGTATTTGTTCAAAACATTTTATAACTACTTTTAACTCTCTAGAGATTTTATATAATATTTCAAATGATTAGTTGACCAAGTAGTCTGTCTCCAAGAACCAAACGCATAAAATAAGTATTGGATTCTTTAATTTATCTAGTATATTGGCTATCCATTGCTGTGTAACAAATCACTTCAAAATGTTTGTGGCTTGACATTTCTTAGACAAAGAAGTAAAAGCAGCAAACAAATATATGGAAAAATGTTCAACATCACTGGTCATTCGAAAGATGCAGATGAAAACAACACAGATTCCACCTCACCCCACAAAGAATGGCTGCTGTCAAGAAATCAACCAATAATAAATCCTGGCAGGGGTGTGGAGAGAAAGGAACCCTTCTCCATTGTTGGTGGGAGTGCAGACTGGTGCAACCACTTTGGAAATCAGTATACCTCAAAGAACTAGGGCTAGAGGTCCCATTTGACCTCACTATTCCCCTGCTAGGTATCTTCCCTAAAGAATTAAAAGAATCATACCACAGTGATACATGTGCACCCATATTTATAGCGGCACAGTTTGTAATAGCTAAAGCTTGGAAACAGCCCAAGTGCCCATCAACTGGAAACTGGATAAAGAAGATGTGTTTTTTTAATAAAATAGA